AAGTGATCATATCAATCACTCCGACGATCGACTTATTATTATCAGTTCAACCTTCTCCTTACCTCGGCTCATCTTTATAATTTTTTCTTCTTCTATTTTTTTACCTTATTTCTCTACCTCGAGTGGGCTTTCTTCGATATTGTCTATAGTTCGCTCTAGATTGGCCTTATCTTCATTGTTCTACAAACCTCTTCAATTGACTTTTCTTTATCAGAGCTTCAATTTCATTTTTTAGGTTAACGTAGTCTTCGATATTATAACCTATATCTCTATAAAAGGTAAATCTTTTAGTCAGATCCCTTTTCATGTTCTGTCTCAATGGCTTCGATAATTGAAGGTAAAAATTTTGCTCAATTTATATTAGAATCCTCTCTCAAAAGGTATTTAATATAGTGTGGTTCCTTTCTCCACTAAAGCTTCTAACCCTATATCATCTCTCTTTTAGGGGAGACTCATAGAAATCATTGCATTTCTTATGACCGATGAGGAGAGATGAGCCTCTATCACCTCAACAGCCTATTAGAGAAGATAAACATCTCTCACATAGATTGTTTTTCATTGTAGCTTTAGCATTTATATATTTTTTAGCATCAACAAGATGTCAGCAAGAGTTTAAGGTGGTTCTAGAGATAATGTTAGCTTCAGGTGGTACTATTTGTTATTGAGTCCACTTATTAGGGAGGGCTACAATGGTCGTTTGTTTCAAGTCTTTAACCTATAAAGCTTTCGCATTAAAACGAATGACATAACTCTTCAAAGTTTCATTCCGACCTTGGTGGATTGACATCAAACGTAGAGTCATATTATTCACTCTTTAGCTACTTACAAACCTAGATAAGAAAAAGTGGCTAAGCTATTTGAATGTCATAATTAACCTTAGTTCTAAGCTGTTGTACTAGAATCGAACTACGCCCTTTAGTATAGTAGCCAAGCATTTGCACATTAGAGCCTCATTTGCCTCTTACATCATCATGTTAGTTCTATAAAGTTCTAAATGATCGAAAGGGTCAAAAGTATCATAATAGGTTTCCAAGGTTGCATTTTGAACCCCTTGAGAGGCATGGCCTTATCGATTTCTTTGGTTAAGGGTAAGGTCTCCAATAACTTAAGTCATCTTCAAATGCCACTGTTTTCATTTTTAGCTCTTTTTTCATAGCTTGCATCCGAGCTTCTAGGTCTTTATTTGGTTGTCAAGATTTGTTTGTTTGAATTTTTAGGTAGTAGCATGTGTTGAATTGTGGTTGGGGTGTTGTGCTCTTCTTTTCTGAAGGCGAAGGAAGCTTCAACCTTTTCATAGCTCGATTGTTTGATAGCGCCTCTTTGGCCAAAGGTGATTAAGTTAAGCACTTTTGAAACTTGTTGTGGGTTTATGATTTGTAACATCTGCTTAAAAGCCTGTATCTATTCGATCAATGCTTGGAATTGTTCCATGGTGATCCACTTGTGGTTGGACAAGTCGGACAAAATGTTGGCTATAATAGGTTTCTATGCCAACCAAGACAATCGTCTCTCCTTCCTCTGAGGTTCTTTTTCTTGACAGCATTGCTTTGTACTCGACTAATGAATGAAAAAAAAGACCCTTACTTGGCATGCTAAAATGTTTGTGCCAAGCTTCTGTCTTAGGGTATTACTAGAAAGACAGAAAAGAAAGGCGATTAGAGGTAAAAGCAAGGAATGTTTCTAATGTTTGCACTCCAACCTGTAAGCCAAAAAAAATGAGGTCGAAAAGAAGTAATAAGGAAAAGATGGAGTGATGTGTGTTACTTTCATGGTGCTTAGACCTTCATATTTATAGATAAATGATGAAGGACCATTAGAGGACAATAAAGACACTACCGAATGTAGACACCCAATCAGGTCCGGGCCCGGATCAATTGGGCCTGACCCGGATCAATTGGGCCTGACCCAGATCATTTGGGCCTGCCCCAAATGGGCAAAGCCCAATTGAATTTTTACCCGTATTCTTTATTTTTTATTTTTATTTTATTTTATTTTTTTTTCTCTCTTGTGTATTTTATTATTTATTATTATGTATTAATATATGTGTATATATATATATATATATATTTTTTTCATTAGAATAGATTTATATGTATATAGTTATATATTTATTATTATTATATTATTATTCTTATCTTTTTTTTAATTATCTGTTCTGATTTTTTCTGATTTTCAGATATTATTTGAAAATTTTTTATCTTTTGATTTATCTTTCCAATTATCTAGATTTTTTTTTTTAATTTTATTTTAATTTTTATTTTGGAGGGCTAGGATTCAAAGTTGAAGACTCCCACTCTGAAGGGGAATTCAATCAGAAGAGTCCAATTGGATTCAAAGACTGAATTCCCGTCAAAAGAGGAATTGGGATTGATCAGAAACTCCTGATCAATCCCTATAAAAGGGACCCCCCTGGAACAGTCAAGAACACACACAGAAAACAGTCAGCTAGAGCTACTGATTTGAGAAGCAAAGGCGTAGGGAAGAGTATAGAAGGCTAGGAAAAGGTTTAGGAGAGTTCCAGAAATTATCAGAAATTTTTTTGGGGATTTTTCGAAATTTTTTTTTTCTGGGAGTTTCTGGAAAATTCCAGTTTCCGGTTGAATTTTCCGGCCAACCTTGAAGTTTCCGGCTAAAATCTCGGCCAACATTGAAGTTTCCGACGAACTGCCCAGTTTCCGGCGAAGAATCCCAGAAACCGGCAAAGAATCCCAGAAACCGGTGAATTTCCGGCCAACTTCCGGCGAAAAAACCCAGATTCCGGCGAAAATTTCCAGAATCCGGTGAATCTTCCACCGGAGTTCTTCGGTTTTTTAGAGAGAAGGGAGAGAAAAGGGAAGGAAGAGAGAGAGGGGAGAGGAGCGTTCTGCCGAAAAACGGAGGAAGGTGCCTTTTATACCCTCTCAAAACGACGTCGTTTTGGCTTTAAGTTAATCAGAGGATCCGCGCGTTTTGCCGAACCCGACCCGACCCGAGCGTCGACCCGATTCTGACCCGCGCGTGCCCAGCCCCCCTCCGAGCCGAGCCGAGCCGAGCCGTTCTTCCCGAGCCGCTTCTCCGAGCCGTTTTCTCTTCCTTGAGCCGAGCCGAGCCGAGCCGCAACCCGAGCCGCTCCAGGTTTTTTTTTTTTTTTTTTTTTTTGAATTTTTTTTTTTGAATTTTTTTTTATTTGACTTTGATTTTGATCTTGATTTTTTTTCTTTTTTCTTTAATTAATCCGACGACGGAGCCTCTACAAGTAAAAACAGTAGTTTTTCTTGCATACTCCTGAGGTGAGGGAATTTTCTCAATTTTCTGCTAAAAGTATTAGAGTCAATTGAGAATAATTTTTGATAATTAATTAATTGGTTGATCTTGATTTTTCTTTAAATAATCCGACGACGGAGCCTCTGTAAGTAAAACAGTAGTTTTCTTGCATACTCCTGAGGTGAGGGAATTTTTTCAATTTCTGCTAAAAGTATTAGAGTCAATTGAGAATAATTTCCAATAACTAATTACTTGGTAAAATTTTAAGGCTTTTGGATAACACAAATTCAAGCTGGTACCATCTTTTGATGGGCGTTGTGAGGGTGCTATAACCTTCCTCACACGTAACCGAACTCCCGAACCTTATTCTGGTTAGCAGACCTGAACCTATTCTTTTAGGGACCCTTAAGCTTAGGTGTTCCTTGAAAGGACAGATTCCTTAGGTGGCCAATCGCACCTAGATAAAAAAGATTGGTGGCGACTCCCTAAAGTCAATGTCTAGCGATAGATCCCCGGATCTAGACGTTACGACACCGAACTAACATGACACTGAGAATGTTAGACTGACCTGACATGTCAAATTGACGCAAATGTTAAAATTACCTTTGGTTATCTACTGAAGGCTTTTAACATAGAAAAAATATTAGTATGCCCTTTTGATCACTAAATGCCCCCAACATTTCCTTCCAATGTTTATATTGTTTGAAAAAAAAAATTGACTCTAGCCTAAGTTGTCCACAATGAAGGCAAAAAAATAATGCAACTGGAATTCTCTTATTAACAAAAGAAGAAAAAATTAACTCGAAAATATATAAAAGTAAATCACTATAGCAATTAAACTCTAGACATGATAATTCATATATTTTTTATATTTATTTAGTATAAAACATTCGCAAAATACAAAAAATTTTATATTATAATTTATGTTAATATACCAAATACAATTCTTTTTATTTTTATTATATTTATATATTATTTTTATTAATATTTAAACTATATCAATTTAAAATTTTAAAATATAAAATCTCATCGCTAAAACCCCTTGAAAACCATGTTTTATTTTTATTTTGTTTTTTTTTAATTAAGAAAGAGTTCTCTCTACTGCTTAAAAAAGTAAAAGTTCTCACAACTTTATCCAATAATAATAAAAATTTTTGCAACTAAATTTAAAATTAAAACCTAATGATTTGAAATTAAATATAAAAATAAATAGATAAATTAAAAAACAAAATTAATTTGAATAAATTTTAACTTTAAATTTAATTAAAAATGTATATATTGCTTTAAATAAAACAATAAAAATTTTCGCTATTTTTTAAGCAACCAACAGATCCTCTCTCGAATTGAATTCTCTATTTTCTTCGCTTTTCTCGTTGGTTGTGGAATGCGTCATAAAAATCTGATGTTGACATAACGATTTTTTTTCCTTACCAACTGCACACGTTTTAAAGACGCGAGTTGGAATAAAGAGCCCGAGTTTTTAGTTTTTCTTTTTTCTGGTTAGAATAAAACATATTTTTATGTGAAAAAATGTTATGAGATTTGGAGAAAAGTCAAATAATAATAATAATAATAATAATGAATGATAAAATCTTTGAGAGTGTCGGGGGACGGTAAATGCAATTTTTTAAACGACGAACGAAGATAAATATTAATAAAGGTCGTGAATGAAAATAATATATTGGCAAAGATAGTAATGCTAAATATAAATTTTAAAGATTATAAATGAAAATAAAACATTAAAAAAAAATCACGATTGTTAATTTTACACAACCTCTATATATTGATCTCTTTGTTCTTCCTTCTTCCTCAGTCGGTCAGCCTGATCTCAGTATGTTAATTTCGGTTGTCTCTGCTATTGATTGTTTTTTTCTTATTAAAAAGTCTATTAATTTGTTAGAAATTCGTGCTCTGTTCACTAATTCTTTGTAAGTTTTATTTTACAGGTGTTTCTGTCCTCTGCTATTCTGATGCAACAGTAGATTTTCGAGTAGCTGAATAAAGGAAGAGAGCCATGAATTTATCAAGCTCAATTTCAAGTCCATTTGCAAAGTTTGAGAGGCAAACTTCTTGTCTGCCTGTGGTAGGTAAAGATAAAGCAATCAGGCTTCAAGTGAAAATGCAGCAGCAGAACAAGTCACCCTCAGGGTTAGCTACAAAACGACAAGCTATTCAAATGGTACCTGTGAGTGAGGGTACTGACAAAAACTAAACTCAGACAGCGTAAAGAACATCCACTTTCAGAAAAAGAGCTTAAGGTTCTGGGTTCAGATGAAAATTTCAGTTGGGCCAATGATAATTATAACATTTGGCGAAGGACTATAGATGTTTGGTTTTTTGTTATTTCCCTGCGTACTCGAATTCTCTTTGACAACGCAAAATGGACTTACTTAGGAGGTTTCTCAGAAGATGAACAGGTGAGTTTTTCAGCTGTCTGATCACATATCATCTTGCTGTCTGATCACATATATACATGATTTGTTAACAGAAAAGAGAAGGAAAAGAACTGGCTCATGGCTACGGGAGCAAGTCTTACAACTTGGTCCAACTTTCATTAAAATTGGACAATTGTTTTCGACAAGATCAGATTTATTTCCCCGTGAGTTTGTCAATGAGCTTGCCAAATTGCAGGTAACCCTTTGTCTGTCTGTGCTGGTTGTGAACAATGTTTTTACATATAATTTCTCGTTTATAAAAACTTTATGCAATTTTTTTTCTTGAATTTAGGATAGGGTCCCTGCATTCTCACCAGAGAAAGCACGACGATTCATTGAGAGCGAACTAGGAGCTCCCATCGAAGAGCTATTCAAGGAGTTTGACGACCAACCAATTGCTGCAGCTAGTCTTGGTCAGGCAAGTACGTCGGATCTCTATGCTTGAGGGAAAGTTGGGATCCAAATTGCCCCAACTCAAACTCCTCAAGTAAGTTTGAGATCATTGAGAAAATATTAAAGCTCAAGAAATAATTAAAACATACAGAGCTGGGTTCAAATTAATTTGATAGAAAAAAAAAAAGAAGATTTTTTCTCTTAAAGTTGCAATGATTGAACAAAAATATCCGTATCATTCAACCTTTACTTTTTTTTTTCATTCTTTTTTTCATTGAAATTTTTTTATTTAAAAATTTTAAGGTGATTTTTTAATTGAATATAATAAATAAATTTATCATTATATAATAAACTAATAAATAAATAAATTTATTATTATATAATAAAATAATAAATAATATGTATTAATATTTTGATTGAATAAAAATTTTAAGATTTTAAATGTCATAAATAATATTAAAATATATATAAATAATTTACCAATACATTTTTAAAACAAATAAAGTTTTAGATGGTTATTTTTCATTCTCTCTCTAACAAAAAAAATTCTAAACTAAAATTAAATAATTATTTCATTTTATATTATTTTATTGCAATTAATTAAACTTTAATCTAATTAACCCATAAATTGAATGAAAATTAATCAATTTTTATCTAATATGAATTTAATTAAATAAAAATAAATATTTTAAAATATAATTAATTATAATAAAATGATAAAAATCAAATGTTGATTTAAATTTAATTAAAATATTTTCTCGTACGTCAGCCTAAAATTATTTTTTTTTAAAGAATTTTCTAGTCAACAATAGACAATATCTGTAAATTTAGTATGCCAAACTTCGCCTAATTTGATAGGTACATCGAGCTATACTGCACAATGGGGAGAAAGTTGCTGTAAAAGTTCAAAGGCCTGGGCTCAAGAAGCTTTTTGATATTGATTTCAGTACGTGAACCCTTTTTTCTTTTTGTGTGCACATAATTTAATAAAATTAGATAAGATTGATGACTCAACTATCTATCTTTAATATTTTATTTAATAATAATAATAATAATAGAGAACGTTGTGTTGTCTCAAAACAAACAAAAAGTCTGGTCATCATGTGAAAGTTTGGTTCGACTACTATATTCGTTTGTGATTTTTTTTATATATTTATTTGAATAATTATTGTTATTATATAAAAGAGTTGAGCCGGCCTTTTTCTATTTAATACAACAAGTGGTTGTGGTTGTCGACTCGACAATTCTTCATTTGACTCTGGAAAGTTTTATATTGCTAGTGGCTGTTAAATAGTTTCCTTGTCTTAATCAAGTAACTTCCTTTTCCTTCCGCAGGAAATTTAAAGCTAATTGCGGAGTATTTTCAGAGGAATGAGACTTTTGGCACAAGGGATTGGATTGGTATATACAAAGAGTGTGAAAAGTAAGTGGGTAATTAATAAATTTAATGATACTCTTCCTTCATTTAATGATATTAATTACTACAATTTATAAGGCCTTGATTAATCATAAAACTTAGTGCTAATATTTTTTATTCAGATTTAACATATTAAGTTTTGTTAGGTTGTTAAATTTATTATTTTTAGTTTAAATTTTAAATTTTATTGATTGATCATTTTTTGGGGGTCGATTTATGCTAGAGATACTCGTATTCTGTTAAAATTCAAATTTTAGTTTATTTATTATAATTTATATAAATTTAAAGTTCATACTATTTTGATTTAATAAATTTAGTCTAATCATAAATTTTATCAATTTTTTTATAATTAAAAATGTTGATATGACCATTGACTTGATTATTGGGTATTAACTTTGTTAATATGATATTGTCTTTGTTGATGTGATAATTTGAATTTATGAAATCAATTGTTAAATTTTTTAAATGATTTTTATACGCATCTGAAATAAAAATTTAATCTTTCTAATATAATTTCATAAAAATTTTATTTTTGTACAAAATAAATTTAATAATATTGGTCTAATTACTAATAAAAGTCCTTTTTTTTACTTTTTTTTAAAATAGGTTTTATTTTTAAATAAAATTAATATTTCTATTTTTTTAGAAACTATTTGTATTTTTAAAATATTAAATTTACACATTTATTAAATACTTAATTTTTAAAAATCATAATTTTTTAATTTTTGTAAAATCAGATTTTATTTTCTAAAACATTTAATATTTTAAATTTTTTAGATATTTTTAAAATATTAAATTTACTTTTTCCAATACTATCAATTTTAAAAATAAAATTCATTTTTTGAAAATTTAACATTTTATTTAATCAATATATTTAAATATTTTGGAATTTTTATTAAATTTTTATGTTTTCTAAATATATTAATATTTAAATGAATAAATAAATAAATTACAAAGAAGGCATGAGATTTTAGAATTTGTTCTATTTTGATTTATTTGAGCTGAAAAAGTATAAAAATCTAAAACAAAATAAAGTAATGTCAGAGTAGGAAGAGTTTTTTTATTTCAATTTATTCTTCATTGAAAAACATAAAAAAAAACGTGTAAAAAATTTTTAAAACTTATAAACTTCTTTTAGAAACACCAAAAATTTTAAAAATATTTATAAATATTTATAAAAAATATATAATTTTTTAAAATTTTCAAAAAAAATAAAAAAATTAAAATTAAATATTTTTAAAATAAAATGTTAAAATTTGAAAAATATAAAAAAATTTAAAAAATTAAATATTGCAAATTTTATATATATTAATTTCAAAAAATAAGAAAATTTTTAAAAATTAAATTTGATTTTTAAGAAAAAATTCCGATTTTTAAAATTAAAAAAAATATGATTTAAAAATTAAAACATTTTTTAAATATTAAATTTAATATTTTGAAATTTTGAAAAAAATTTCTAAAAAATTAAATATGATTTAAAAAAAAGGTAAAAAAATATATCTTTTTTTTATTAATAATTGAACCAATATTATCAAATTCATCTTGTACAAGAATGAAATTTTTATAAAATTATACTAGATAGACTAAAGTTTAAATTTCATGTAAATACATGAATTATTTGCATAAATTGATAACTAATTTTATTTATCTAAATTACCACATCAATAAAGTCATCATGTCAGTAAAAAGAACATTCATGTCAGTCAACGGTATGTCAGCATTTTTAACAATTAAAAATTAATGAAATTAATTATTGAATTAAAATAATATAAAAAAAATAAATTTATATGAATTTTAATACAATAACTAACTTTCAAAATTTGACAAAGTGTAAAGACTTTTGGCATAATTTCACTTTTGTTTTAAGGTTTGGGTGACTCCTATAATAAAATACGGGCTCCATTAATTAATAAAAAATATTTTAATCAAAATAGAATAATGTTAAATATTGATGAAATTTAATCTAAAATAAAAAGTAATATATACAATATTTGAAAAATAGTTTCACGTCCTGAATTACGAGTGAGCTGATTTAGGATGGATTTGGTTTCAATCTCACCTCTAGTTAGATGCAGTATAACGCAAAAGTCACCGTTTAGGTTCAAATGAATGTTCAGTGAGGCACGATTAGTCGTAGTTTTATTTTTTCATTCTAAAAGGTCAGATCGATTGGATCGATTGGTTTGAGAAAAATTTTTTTTTAATTTTTAATTTTTAAAAATGTATTTGATAAATAAAAATAAAAATTATTTTTTTAAAATATAAAAAAAGCAAATAAATAAAATATTTAATGATATTATTATTAATGTCATCTAATAACAAATATAATATATATTTAGTAATTAATGATATTAAAAAGTGTTAAAATATGATAACTTTTAAATATATATATAAAAAAGTAATGTATATCCCTTTTTCATAATTAAAAATATTTTTTTATTTAATATTTAATCTATTTTCATTTTTATTTTTTAAAATTTATTTTCATTTTCAATTATTAAACCACATTTCACTCAATTTTTTATTTTAAGAAATGAAAACAAAAAATGACTTTATTTTTAAAACCAAACCCTATTTTATTTTTCTAACTCGGTTATTTCTTTCAAGTTTGTCATTTTTTTTTGGACCTTTGAAGATATAATGTAGGATAAAATATCCCTATAGTCAATCTTTTCTTTTTCTTTTTGCATTTTACTTTTTATTTAAAAAAATTAAATA